TGTCATATACATAACACATTTTTATAAGTTGCAAATAGATTCATCGCTATTGGCAAAATATTTACCACCCTTTAAATTTCGAAACACAACCCCCCAATAATGAAAATATATATATATCGGCTGCGATATATATCAGCTTCTCCTATCAAATCCTTCACCCAAATATATCTAAATCAATTTTGGAATACATATATTTTGACTAACACTAGATATGAAACAAGCTTGCCTGGTGGAATGCCTTCAAATTCATCTCACTAATTTCTAGTATACGCCTGACAAAAAGTACGAGTTCAAAAATAAATATTTTTACAAATCTTTATAAGGTATTGAAATAATAACTACATATCTGTTGTTATGACTCACGCAGCGTAGGTAGCCATTACTTTCAATTATTTCATTTCCTACTAAGCTGAAATGTGGGTGGAGTTTTTTCGTTCCACGCTCCACGTACTGCTTTAACCATGAACAAGAAAAATCCTTTCGAAACTTCAATGGTCATCTTAGAATTTAGATGGTGTTTCAAATTTTTATTTTTTGTTGTTGACATCAGCAAAACGTCAGTAAACATTTATATAGCGAATCTGAACAATCACTACATTTCTATTGACAGTGGGGGAAAATGTACATTTTGAGTTGAACCTATGTGGCCTATTTTCGAGTAAATAAATCTATGCATTGGTATCAAAAATCTGCGCATTGGAATATTATTTTTCGCATAATATATTCTGTATATCAAAGTCTCAAGCATTCGGAATGTTCAAGAGGAGGCCGAGATTGGAGAATCAACCTATAAGATCCAATATTTTCATTTCGAGTTCAGATTTATAGTAAGATGTAAGGAGTTTTCTAGAAGCCATTCTTTTATTTTCAGGAATTCCTTCGATGCTCTCAACCCAATTTGGGTTTTTTATTATTCACAGCACGCTTTCATATAACATTCGTACAATTCTTTTAGAATTCGGTTGTAATTTTCGCTGAGATTGCGACAGTATTTTGAAGGTTATATCCATAGATATAAGTAAATATTGCTATATAAGTTTAATATGAAAGCAAACTTCCAACAAGCGGTGACTCAATAGCACGAGTTGTTTTCTACGAAAAGGAGCTCTATGTATTAGCATATTTCTGTATAGAAAGACCCAGTTGTCTGCATGATGATTTGGATGTATACCAAAAAAAAAAAATAGAAAGAAATAAAACATACTTTGAAAAGATGCAAACAATCAATTTTAGCTATCATGCGAGAATATAGGGAGAACGCGGTCTTGATCTTACTGCGTATTTTATGCAAACGATTCGACTTTCAAGCAAGCTCTGATATTCAGGCTTGTCCATGGGACACATTTTTCTGTCCCATTCCCATCCCATAGAAATTATGCCTGTCCCATCCCATCAGCGAAACACAACAAATTTATAGATTTTATCAATGATTACACTGGCAATGAAAAATTGGTAAATTTTGACTTTTCCTTATAACTATCAGCAAATATATACCTTAGTTTTTACACCAACTTCATTTTCTAAACAAGCGAAAAATTACAGTTCATTACTATAAAATAAATAAATTACTTTTTAAAGCTTTTGAAGAAAATAAAAATACATTTTCAAAATTGTTTTTTCATTTTCATAAAACATTATTGATCAAAAATTAAATAAAGAACCTAATCACACTATAAAACTTTCGCGTTTCTCATTAACTACAAGATCAATTGCTTTTGCTTTGATTAGTTTCAAAGACTTGTGTGGTCTTTATGAAATTATTCATTCCAAAATTTTTAACTCTTAACTATATGCACATATATATTTGAGTTTTTACACCAACTTCATCTTGCAGTCAAGCGAAAAATTACAGCTTATAATTAGAGAAAAATAAATTAGTTTTTAAAATTTTTGATAAAAAAAAACACACTTCTCTTATTTTTAACATCCGTAAAACAGTATTCATCAAAAAATAAATGAAGAACCTAATTATATTGCAAAACTTCCACGCCAGAAGGACCAAATAATATATACCTATGAGAAATGCTTCGCGTCAGCATCTTTGTTTTGAATTGTTTTTTATTTCAATTTTGGAACTTCATTTTATTGGACACGAAATGTACCTATAATTGCTTTCATTTTCATGTTATTGTTACGTTATTGTTGGTGTAATTTCACTTTTTGTCGCTTTTCTCTCTCTATGGAACCAATTGCTTTGAATTCTGCAGTGGTTAAAGATCGTTGTACTCTATTTAATTAAAAAACTTTTGTGGGTTCTATGGATTGTATTTTTTTCATTCCAAAATCAAAAAAAATGCGTCAGTCTGCTGATACTGTACGATTATGATGCTATTTCATTTTGGCTTTCGTGTCCATATATTGGAGCATTGATCTTTTGTTTTTATAAGAGCAAGCAAGGCCATGCGCACCGACTCAGGAGTAAAGGAGACTGACCTCGATACATTGTACGAGTTAAAAATAAAATCTCCGGCAAATGTTGTTCATATGTCATAAAAAAAAAAAACTTGAGCACATTGATTATTCGACAAAATCGAATTTAATGAACAACCCCAGCAAAATCAGAACCAATATATCCTAGAAAATTTTCTGTCAGGGTTTTTTGACGTTGGCAAGATATAGAGATTTGAATTATACGTTTTTTTTACTAAAATCGCGGCATTGGGCCTTTCAGCAAATCTTACGATGGAAATTTTGGACTTGCAGAATATTACGGAATCTGCAACGTAGAGTGTTCTATCCACTGAAAACATCACAAAGATAGAAACTATATTCATCAAATAAACTGTCGCAGGTTCAATTATTATTCGTTTTCATACGTTTTCAGTGTACGTAACTAATCAGTAGAGTAAATCCACATCTTGCAATCAAACTTGATTCTAAAAATATAAAAAATATGATTTGTCTCAATATTATTCCGCATGATGCAAATGTATTTGGTGTACTTGCTTCTGAATCTACTTATTTTGGGGATTGCACTCAATACAGCATTCCACTTTTTAGATGTATATATTCGCTTTTAACAAACTTTGAAGTTAAAGAGATTACAAAAAATTAGTCTTAAGTGACCACTAACTGTATGCAAATAGAAATTATTTTTTAAAGGCACAAGTTGATATGGTATCACAAGAAGAATATTTTTTTCGTCTGGAACAATTATGAAAAACGCAAAATGATAAATCGCTGATAAGAACACACTTCGGATTGAGAGTGCGCTACCGGTAAAGTTTTCTCGGATAGGATACGGTCGAACGAAAACTTTAACTTACCCTTACCGGTATTTTTACGCAGGAACGCAGCAAAGTTGAAAATGTGTAATATTAGGCTGCGATTAAAGAGCATTGTTTTTGCACATATACTAAAACAAAAACACTCACTTGATCCTGTTGATTGCACCTCGGACGTAATTTTGGTAATGCGTACTCAATTCTGTACTTGAATGCACTGGAAAATGGAACCGTTCCAGACCAATGTAGTTGTACTTCGCTGATTGAAATTATTGAGAAGATTTTAATAATATATCTGTCTTAAGGCTATCATAATAACAGAAACAAGAGAGCAATTTCCAAATATATGTACACGTTAACCAGAGCGAAGCAATGCTTATCTTTGAAGCTACCGGTACCCTCCAAAAATTTCCGAGTTACTCGTAGCAAGAATTTACAGTATCTAACTGGACAGCCAGAGTTCCCATGGATAAAATAATACAGCGAAATTTTGGACGAAATATCAGATTTCATACTAAATTTAGACAATAGGAAAGTAATAGCCTTCTGGCAAAAAATCAATCTTTAACCACTGAAAATTTTAAAGCCATTGTCCAAGTATTCGAAGAGAGAAGCTATTTTTAATGATAATGATGACGAATAACAAGAACAACAACAACATAATATCGAAACAATCGCTATGTCCATGAGCGTGTCCAAAAACAAAGACATTGTAAGAAAGGTAAGGTTTGTTTTTTCGTCCGGGTGTCAACGGATCGTGGAAGTACTACATCGAGTTACTCGTGGCGTCAAATTTAATACCCATTCGAAAACCGATGTTCTTTTCTTTAGCTACTGGACTAAACGCTTTCGAAATATCAGATGTTGAATATAGTGTCATCCTCTAAAAAAATTTACTTTCCTTTTTACATAAATCATCAGGACTTCCTGTGCTCATTGTAACACCAAATATTGTTTTAATTTGAACTACGGCGTGGTTTTTCCGATGAGCCAATTTTCCGAGCGAGTATTAAAAATAGTGAGACAAAAATAGAACAATATAACAGAGTTGAACGATGATTTAGCAAAACTTTCCACAGGTTTATTTATGTTCAATAGGCTACTGAGATGATAACTTTCATTTAGTTACAATAGCTTACTTTCATTGCATATTGCATTAAATGTTTCGTTTTATCATATGAAAGAGAGGCCGCTTTCTTTACGCCAGGCATCGTTATAAATATCAACTTTTTTACGGTATTCAAAACTTCGCGAAGAGCCTGAGGACCAAAAATAAAATGGCAAGTTGTTATCAAAATTACTTTGACAGCGAACGTTCATTATGATTATTATAACATAAAATTAATGATATCGTGGTAAGGACATTCTCTAAAGTCTAAACTATACATTGTCAGTAATCATAATTACATACCAATCAGTTCTCATTGGTGACAGCACATTTGAACCCACGTACATTTGCACCCGCAAACTGCACCCAAGACATTTGAACCTCTATACTATTGCATCCACCGACATTTGCATCCACCGACATTTGCATCCCGGACATTTGCACCTGCGTACATTTGAACCCACGTACATTTGAACCCACGAACATTTGCACCTCGGACTATTGCACCTATGGAAATTGTTTTTTGTTTACGGATATTTGAACCCATACTAACCCTAACCCATGGGATATACACATGGGTTCAAATGTACGTGGGTTCAAATGTACGCAGGTGCAAATGTCCGAGGTGCAAATGTTCGTGGGTTCAAATGTCCGGGATGCAAATGTCGGTGGATGCAATAGTATAGAGGTTCAAATGTCTTGGGTGCAGTTTGCGGGTGCAAATGTACGTGGGTTCAAATGTGCTGTCACCAATAAGGACTGATTGGTATGTAATTATGATTACTGACAATGTATAGTTTAGACTTTAGAGAATGTCCTTACCACGATATCATTAATTTTATATTATAATAATCATAATGAACGTTCGCTGTCAAGGTAATTTTGATAACAACTTGCCATTTTATTTTTGGTCCTCAGGCTCTTCGCGAAGTTTTGAATACCGTAAAAAAGTTGATATTTATAACGATGCCTGGCGTAAAGAAAGCGGCCTCTCTTTCATATGATAAAACGAAACATTTAATGCAATATGCAATGAAAGTAAGCTATTGTAACTAAATGAAAGTTATCATCTCAGTAGCCTATTGAACATAAATAAACCTGTGGAAAGTTTTGCTAAATCATCGTTCAACTCTGTTATATTGTTCTATTTTTGTCTCACTATTTTTAATACTCGCTCGGAAAATTGGCTCATCGGAAAAACCACGCCGTAGTTCAAATTAAAACAATATTTGGTGTTACAATGAGGACAGGAAGTCCTGATGATTTATGTAAAAAGGAAAGTAAATTTTTTTAGAGGATGACACTATATTCAACATCTGATATTTCGAAAGCGTTTAGTCCAGTAGCTAAAGAAAAGAACATCGGTTTTCGAATGGTATTAAATTTGACGCCACGAGTAACTCGATGTAGTACTTCCACGATCCGTTGACACCCGGACAAAAAAACAAACCTTACCTTTCTTGCAATGTCTTTGTTTTTGGACACGCTCATGGACATAGCGATTGTTTCGATATTATGTTGTTGTTGTTCTTGTTATTCGTCATCATTATCATTAAAAATAGCTTCTCTCTTCGAATACTTGGACAATGGCTTTAAAATTTTCAGTGGTTAAAGATTGATTTTTTGCCATAAGGCTATTACTTTCCTATTGTCTAAATTTCGTATGAAATCTGATATTTCGTCCAAAATTTCGCTGTATTATTTTATCCATGGGAACTCTGGCTGTCCAGTTAGATACTGTAAATTCTTGCTACGAGTAACTCGGAAATTTTTGGAGGGTACCGGTAGCGTCAAAGATAAGCATTGCTTCGCTCTGGTTAACGTGTACATATATTAAGAAATTGCTCTCTTGTTTCTGTTATTATGGTAGCCTTAGGACAGATATATTATTAAAATCTTCTCAATAATTTCAATCAGCGAAGTACAACTACATTGGTCTGGAACGGTTCCATTTTCCAGTGCATTCAAGTACAGAATTGAGTACGCATTACCAAAATTACGTCCGAGGTGCAATCAACAGGATTAAGTGAGTGTTTTTGTTTTAGTATATGTGCAAAAACAATGCTCTTTAATCACAGCCTAATATTACACATTTTCAACTTTGCTACGTTCCTGCGTAAAAATACCGGTAAGGGTAAGTTAAAGTTTTCGTTCGACCGTATCCTATCCGAGAAAACGTTACCGGTAGCGCACTCTCAATCCGAAGTGTGTTCTTATCAGCGATTTTTCATTTTGCGTTTTTCATAATTGTTCCAGACGAAAAAATATTCTTCTTGTGATACCATATCAACTTGTGCCTTTAAAAAATAATTTTTATTCGCATACAGTTAGTGGTCACTTAAGACTAATTTTTTGTAATCTCTTTAACTTCAAAGTTTGTTAAAAGCGAATATATACATCTAAAAAGTGGAATGCTGTATTGAGTGCCATCCCCAAAATAAGTAGATTCAGAAGCAAGTACACCAAATACATTTGCATCATGCGGAATAATATTGAGACAAATCATATTTTTTATATTTTTAGAATCAAGTTTGATTGCAAGATGTGGATTTACTCTACTGATTAGTTACGTACACTGAAAACCTATGAAAACGAATAATAATTGAACCTGCGACAGTTTATTTGATGAATATAGTTTCTATCTTTGTGATGTTTTCAGTGGATAGAACACTCTACGTTGCAGATTCCGTAATATTCTGCAAGTCTAAAATTTCCATCGTAAGATTTGCTGAAAGGCCCAATGCCGAGATTTTAGTAAAAAAAACGTATAATTCAAATCTCTATATCTTGCCAACGTCAAAAAACCCTGACAGAAAATTTTCTAGGATATATTGGTTCTGATTTTGCTGGGGTTGTTCATTAAATTTGATTTTGTCGAATAATCAATGTGCTCAAGTTTTTTTTTTTTTATGACATATGAACAACATTTGCCGGAGATTTTATTTTTAACTCGTACAATGTATCGAGGTCAGTCTCCTTTACTCCTGAGTCGGTGCGCATGGCCTTGCTTGTTCTTATAAAAACAAAAGATCAATGCTCCAATATATGGACACGAAAGCCAAAATGAAATAGCATCATAATCGTACAGTATCAGCAGACGGACGCATTTTTTTAAATTTTGGAATGAAAAAAATACAATCCATAGAGCCCACAAAAGTTTTTTAAATTAATTAGAGTACAACGATCTTTAACCACTGCAGAATTCAAAGCAATTGGTTCCATAGATAGAGAAAAGCGACAAAAAGTGAAATTACACCAACAATAACGTAACAATAACATGAAAAAAAAAGCAATTATAGGTACATTTCGTGTCCAATAAAATGAAGTTCCAAAATTGAAATAAAAAACAATTCAAAACAAAGATGCTGACGCGAGGCATTTCTCATAGGTATATATTATTTGGTCCTTCTGGCGTGGAAGTTTTGCAATATAATTAGATTCTTCATTTATTTTTTGATGAATACTGTTTTATGGATGTTAAAAATAAGAGAAGTGTGTTTTTTTTTATCAAAAATTTTAAAAACTAATTTATTTTTCTCTAATTATAAGCTGTAATTTTTCGCTTGACTGCAAGATGAAGTTGGTGTAAAAACTCAAATATATATGTGCATGTAGTTAAGAGTTAAAAATTTTGGAATGAATAATTCCATAAAGACCACACAAGTCTTTGAAACTAATCAAAGCAAAAGCAATTGGTCTTGTAGTTAATGAGAAACGCGAAAGTTTTATAGTGTGATTAGGTTCTTTATTTAATTTTTGATCAATAATGTTTTATGAATTTTGAAAATGTATTTTTATTTTCTTCAAAAGCTTTAAAAAGTAATTTATTTCTTTTATAGTAATGAATTGTAATTTTTCGCTTGTTTAGAAAATGAAGTTGGTGTAAAAACTAAGGTATATATTTGCTGATAGTTATAAGGAAAAGTCAAAATTTACCAATTTTTTATTGTCAGTGTAATCATTGATAAAATCTATAAATTTGTTGTATTTCGCTGATGGGATAGGACAGGCATAATTTCTATGGAATGGGAATGGGACAGAAAAATGTGTCCCATGGACAAGCCTGAGAGCTTGCTTGAAAGTCGAATCGTTTGCATAAAATACGCAGTAAGATCAAGACCGCGTTCTTCCTATATTCTCGCATGATAGCTAAAATTGATTGTTTGCATCTTTCCAAAGTATGTTTTATTTCTTTCTATTTTTTTTTTTGGTATACATCCAAATCATCATGCAGACAACTGGGTCTTTCTATACAGAAATATGCTAATACATAGAGCTCCTTTTCGTAGAAAACAACTCGTGCTATTGAGTCACCGCTTGTTGGAAGTTTGCTTTCATATTAAACTTATATAGCAATATTTACATATATCTATGGATATAACCTTCGAAATACTGTCGCAATCTCAGCAAAAATTACAACCGAATTCTAAAAGAATTGTACGAATGTTATATGAAAGCGTGCTGTGAATAATAAAAATAAAAGAATGGCTTCTAGAAAACTCCTTACATCTTACTATAAATCTGAACTCGAAATGAAAATATTGGATCTTATAGGTTGATTCTTCAATCTCGGCCTCCTCTTGAACATTCCGAATGCTTGAGACTTTGATATACAGAATATATTATGCGAAAAATAATATTCCAATGCGCAGATTTTTGATACCAATGCATAGATTTATTTACTCGAAAATAGGCCACATAGGTTCAACTCAAAATGTACATTTTTCCCCACTGTCAATAGAAATGTAGTGATTGTTCAGATTCGCTATATAAATGTTTACTGACGTTTTGCCGATGTCAACAACAAACAATAAAAATTTGAAACACCATCTAAATTCTAAGATGACCATTGAAGTTTCGAAAGGATTGTTCTTGTTCATGGTTAAAGCAGTACGTGGAGCGTGGAACGAAAAAACTCCACCCACATTTCAGCTTAGTAGGAAATGAAATAATTGAAAGTAATGGCTACCTACGCTGCGTGAGTCATAACAACAGATATATAGTTATTATTTCAATACCTTATAAAGATTTGTAAAAATATTTATTTTTAAACTCGTACTTTTTGTCAGGCGTATACTAGAAATTAGTGAGATGAATTTTAAGGTATTCCACCAGGCAAGCTTGTTTCATATCTAGTGTTAGTCAAAATATAAGTATTCCAAAATTGATTTAGATATATTTGAGTGAAGGATTTGATAGGAGAAGCTGATATATATCGCAGCCGATATATATATATTTTCATTATTGGCGGGTTGTGTTTCGAAATTTAGAGGGTGGTAAATATTTTGCCAATTGCGATGAAACTATTTGCAACTTATAAAAATGTGTTATGTATATGACAGACCATCTACTCTACACTGATAAATGTGACATTTTCTGAATATTCAAAGACAATTTTACCGAAGTTAGGTATTGAAGTCTGGCATCACATCTGGGGAATGTAGGGAAATCACTAGGGTTGCCTACTTGGGAAGCTAAAGGACATAAACGAAAGCTGTCAATGATAAAAGCCAATCAAATAAATCATATCTTATTCACTTCTAATACGAGGAAGAACAATCTACTTGCGAGCATTGATATGAGGAATACAGTTATGTTTCGCTGACGTATAATACTCACATATACGTACTGACTTACGTGATATTGATGAAATCCAAATTTCAAAATGCAAGTAGTGTGGGTACATGTACTCGAAATGCTGATTGCATTCGCAAATTATCAAAAACAACAGTAAAGTCTGTGAAAAAAAATCTCTGTGGTAAATAATATGTCGAACTATCGATTTCTTGTAAAAATTAAAAAAAAAATAAATAAAATTTTCAAAATCAAAAATAAACCGAAAATAAAATAAAAGAGTAATGAAAAATAAAAACAACTGTAAAAATACAAATCAAAAGACTAGACCGGAAAACACGACCTTTTTTTTTTTGTCAGCTGTTTTATATTGTAATTATTTTTTTTTAAACCGATGCGCAGCCTGTTGCATTTTATTTCTCGCTAAACCTCCAATAACAATCGTTTTTCAATTATTTTAACATACGTCGGTCAGTAAACATACGTTTTTTGAATTTAATTATGTCAACTCAGTTGTCAATTTTCTACTAAAGTCAGTACATCCTTATGGTTGTTTCCAATCAACAGATGCACAAAACTTAACTACGACATTGCATGATTTCCTAAACACGAAATAAATTACCACTCTGCATCACTCGGCTCAAAAAAGATTTAAACCCTCATATATATTGCTCAATACTCAAATATATAAACACATACAAAATATACCATAAATTTAATGACTAACACATTTGGGAAGCTAAAGGACATAAACGAAAGCTGCCAATGATAAAAGCTAATCAAATAAATCATATCTTATTCACTTCTAATACGAGCATTGCTATGAGGAATACAGTCATGTTTCGCTGACGTATAATACTCACATATACGTACTGACTTACGTAATATTGATGAAATCCAAATTTCAAAATGCAAGTAGTGTGGGTACATGTACTTGAAATGCTGATTGCATTCACAAATTATCAAAAACAACAGTAAAGTCTGTGAAAAAGAATCTCTGTGGTAAATAATATGTTGAACTATCGATTTCTTGGAAAAAAAAAAAAAAAAAAAATAAATAAATAAAATAAAATTTTAAAATCAAAAATAAACCGAAAATAAAAAAGTAATGAAAAATAAAAACAACGGTAAAAATACAAATCAAAATATAAAAAATGAAAATTAAAAAACGCGCTTAAAATAAAAATGGCGTTTTTCAATTATTTTGACATACGTCGATCAGTAAACATACGCAAAACCATAAACTTAATGACTAACACACGGTTGACGCACAGAACAATGCGATTAATCCCCCGATACCGGAAACAATATTACATAACAACATCCCACAATTTGCACCAACATTTACACAACAAAATATGTTGTGTTTTCCATTGTTCTCAACAACAAAAACATGTTGTGCTCGACATATATATATACTACTTAACTAATAAGCCTAAAGCAAATCAACTACTTAATTAGTTCCATTAGGGAAGACCAGGCAACTCGGAAAATAGATTAGCAACCAAAACAACGTTTTGGGCACACAAAAAAATTTCAGAATATACAATGATTTATGATCCAAATGTGACCAGTGGCGGCGCGTCAATAGGGCCAACCGGGGCAATGCCCCGGTTTTTTTTCGGTATAATAAAAAATATTCGAAAAATACCTCAATATCGGTTGCACAGACTGTCTACACTAGCCATATTCTCCCGACATGGTTCATTTTTCGTTCGCAAAGCCTTCGCCGAACGTCGACGGGGCGACGCCGATTTTGCCCCGGTTGCTCATTGTATATCGTATTCTCTCTTTTATCTCCCACTCGCCGCGTTTGTTTTCTGTTTCTTTTACTAAATCATCGGGGCCGATCGGGGCTAGCCCCGAAATTATGACGACACAATGCCGACGTTTCTTACAACAACGTGTTGACATATTCACGCATTCCTTCTCGTTCGTTGGTTGCTTGAAGAGTTGATAGTTTCCTCGCCTTCGTTTTTGCAGAAAACGAAGACTATTTGGATCGGACGAACGATATGCTGAACGTAAGAAGAT